AAGGGACTTAAAACCAGCACATGTAAAATAGCTGATGACATGTATAAGCTGTCAGTATCTGTTTCTTCAGCCTAACCAAGGGTCCTAGAGAATACATCTAAAGCTCCTAGAGCAAAAGATTTGGGCCTTTGCTTGTATTTGTGGTGCTGGGGTTGAACCAAAACACTCAAATGCCAGGTGAGCACTATATACCATGGTGGTATACTGACAGCAACACAAGAGATTGCCTGTTCATTTGTGATTCATGTCACTGGGAGATGTTAAACCTTTGAGGGAGTACTGTTAGCAAATTCTGTGCAGACTTTAATAAATCAGGCCCCTCTCATCGTTAAGTTCTCAAGTAGAAGTCTCTCTAAGATACTGTTCTTTTGCTTGCTTGCTTGCTTGCTTGCTTGCTTGCTTGCTTGCTTGCTTTTTGTGATCTTTCAAGGCAGGCTTTCTCTGTGCAGCTCTGTAGACCAGGCTGGCCTAGAACTCACAGAGATCTTCCTGCCTCTGCCTCCTAAGTGCTGGGATTAAAGGCATGTGCCACCACCGGCAATACTGTTCTTTCTTATCTTTGAACTAAAACTGTTTCTAACTTGTGCTGGTCTGAGCATTGTTGTTATGTGACAAAACTTTTTCTTTTTGGTTTTTTTGTTGTTGTTGTTGTTGTTGTTTTGTTTGTTTTTACGAGACAGGGTTTCTCTGTATTGTTTTGGAGGCTGTCAGTCCAGCCCAGCCTCGAATTCACAGAGTTTAATCCCAAGTGCTGGGATTAAAGGCATGCGCCACCACCGCTGGGCTGTGACAAAACTTTTTCTGGGGAGACACAACACACCCCAGATAGGGATCCAATGGAGGACCAAAGTATGAACACCATCAAAGTCCAAGTTCCTGAACCAACAAGCTTTATTGGGGTTATTTGCAGGAGTATGGGTGAGGGGTTACTTACAGGAGCAGAAGTGACTCAAAGACAGCTGGATCCCCATTGCCAGCCCCATCATGAATGACAGCTCATAAAAGCTGGGAACCTGAAGCACACAGCACATCCTGCATGCAAGTGATAGAATGCCCCTTCCAGGTGTCTCTCTTTCAGGTAGCTGGTCTGCTCAGAATTATCTTTGCAGTTCAGCTTGTCTGGGAGTCTATAGCTCAGTTTTCCTTCAACAGAGAGGTACTTCTACTGCTTGGGGAGGGGTAGTGCTTGTGAATCTGGTCAGTTTCAGGGACTTCTGAAGCTATTTTAAATTGTTTACCTTCCTACATGGGCTTTTCTGCAGAATGGAATGTTTTTAGGCTCATCTGTGTACGTGTGTGTGTGCGTGTGCGCGCGAGTGATTTCAGAAAATTTGGGTCATTGTGCTTTCAGGAAATTTGGGTCATTGTGTCCGTGGTTCTATAATGAATGACAGAACTGCCTGCTAACTCTATTTCATCAGAGTCTGCACTCTTTGTCAATACCTTAAATTTTTGTTGCATGTAGTTTAATAAATGCCTGAAACTCAGACTTTGTTTGTTTGTGAGAATGTGCCTCTTTCACAGTCTATATGTTTTCTAATTTCTAATTTACTAGAATAGGTGTATTAAGTTGACTGAAGCAAGCTAGAGTTGTTCTGTCAACAGTGATGCAGTATTAGTTATCTACTTGGCTGTGTTTGGTAGGCTGTTTCTTTTGCATTTTATTTGTAATGGATGGAAACAGAACTTTGGAGAGTTATCTTGGTTACCATTATATGGTATTGAGTTAAGGTGTGTTACTGCAGGAAGTTTTACCTTTGTTGTAATTGGAAAAGTGAAAACAAGAGCTATTCCGAGATATAATGGGGCATTTTTTTCAATAATGGAATTAGAATTTCTTTTTTAACTTGCTAACATAACTATTTGGCTTTTTCTCTTTATTTAACCTGTTGTTTTTAAGTATTTTTATGGTCACTCAGCCACCTCACATTGCTGCTGCTGATGAGGTATGAGTGAGAACCAAACCCTCTAGGGTTCCCGTGATGTTGCTGGCTTCAGAGGTACGCTCTCCGTGCCTCTCTTAGGTGGGAATACGTTGCTGCCCTCCCGCACCCTTCCTCCGCCCTCCCACCCTGGCCTTGCTGTCTCACCAAGGCTTGCTTTAGGCAGTCACCTCTTGCCACCTGTCTTCATTTCATCCCCTGCCGAGGCTGACCCCATGCTGCTTCCCATTAGTCTGGAGGAAAAGCCTCTTTTCCTCGCATCACTTCCACTCCTAAAACGTCTTAAGCCTCTTGGTGACCCGAAAGGTAGACAACCCAAAGTGGGTGGTGGCGATTTAAGTGATTACCTTCGTCCCTTTTCCTTTTCCTTCTGGGACTCCGCTGACTTTATTATCTTTGTTACCTGGACATGATAGTTTTTATTTAATGTGTGTAGTAAACTATAGGCTTTATAAAGAAGTGAAGGGAACTGAACTATTTCTAAGCTTTTGTTTTGCACAGTCTATTTTTATGATGGCCACAAATTCTCAGTTATATTGTTCACATACCATTTTAACATTTATTATATATTCACTGAATTGCTAACATTTATATGTTTTTCACATGTTTTTAGTTTCTATTAGTTTTTTAAATGATAGGAGTTTCAAAAAGACTGAGAACTTCCTCTGATTAAAAGCGTGTGTGTGTGTGTATGTGTGTATTATTTTCACCCAAAGATTTGTCTTTTTGTAAGTATTTGAAGTCATATTTTTAGGTTAGGCGTATTTTGTTCTTAGGCATATTTTGTGATTTTTTTTTATACCAAGAGGCTTTAAATTAAAGCTTAACATCACAAAATGGACTAACAGTTGAGGTGAAAAGAAATATTTTCCATTCTCTTAATTTACCTGTTTGTGCTTGGCACAGTCCTCTAACAACAGATGAGAAACTGAGATGTTGAGCTGGTGTGGGGACCATCTGCAGACCCAGCATTCATGTGGTAAACTGGAGGCGGGCTGGTAGGTCCCAGGCCAGCCTCAGGTGCTTGATTCCAGAATGGTCTTTTAGGAGTGGATCGGATATGCAGCTATTAGGAATAAATCCTGTTGTGATTATCCTGATAATTCTGTCAAACCTTAGAAGTTTGGTGAGAATGCTGTTAGCGGATGTCTGTTACCAGGGTGCAGCACTCTTACAGAAACTCTTCTAAGAAGAGTGTTCCTTTTCAGTGCAGTAGTCAGCTGGGTTCTTTTGTGTAGGCTGTTTGTTTTTGAAAAAATATTTTTACTTATTCTTGGACAGTTTTATGTGAATGCAGATTACCTTGATCATACCCAGTTTCCTTCTGTGTCTTCTTTTTCTTTTCTTCTATTTTTTCAAGTAACTCACTCATTCACTCCAGTTAGTGCTGCTGTGCACATAACTGGGAGCATCACTGGGGCATGAGCAACTTAGCATCAACTACACACCTGAAGAATAATGACCATCCTTCAGCAGCCAGCAGCTGCCAATAGCTCCTTAGCTCAGGGTGGGTCCTGCTGTGCCCCTCCCCCATCCGTGCTGTACCATTTGATCTTGTGCAGGTGACCACAGTTGCTGTGAGTTCATGAGTGCCGAAGCCATGTCATGACAGCATTTCGCAGTCCTCGTTGTCTGCCCTATGATGCTCCCTGAGCCTGGGGGTAGGAGGGTTGATGTAGACTTCCTATTTAGGGACGAATACTCAGTGACTCACTCTCCTGTTTTGACCAGTTATAAGTCTCTGTATTACTGCCACTGCAAGAAGTTTCTCTGACCAGTTTAGAGCAACACTTATCCACAGATATAAATGTAAACATGTAGAAACCAGTTCAACAGCATGGCCATTTAAAAAACAACAGTAGTGGGTTCCCACTAGGGCCAGTGACTCCCCCAGGTGGGAGGCTTGACCCTGTTTTACATTCAGGCCTGAATTCCTCCCTGTAGGGTAGGCCTCAGGTCTAATCAGAAAGCATTTGGTTACCCCTGCCCCCCAAGAGTCACACCATTATTTCATGATTTCTTCGGTATGTCTCATCTGGCAGGTCAGTATTGTTGCAAGCAGGGACCACCACTGGGTAATATTGTTGATGGTTTTTCTCCCCCAGTGGCCTGTGTAGCACCTTCCAGCACTATGAAAGCTAGCCAGCAGGGAGAAATTTCCAGGTCAGTTCTAAATTGATTTCTATATGTCCTGCAACCAAAGTGTGTGGTGTCTTTAGCAATAAGGCCTTACTATCTAGTTATGGTAGGCAACCAAGTGCAATGGCAATAATAGCCTGTTGTTTTGGTGGTCTCTAGGGCCTTCTTGACCTTTAACTCTCAGGGAAGTATCCCACATCTGGCACTGAAATCCTATCTCTATCAAACCTTGGATACTTGATCTGAATTCATTGTTATCAAATGTCTTGCTCCCCGCAACCAATAACTCTTACAATATATTCTTTTAAAAGCTTCTTTTTAAATATTAAAATTAAAAAGTGTGTGAGTGTTTTGCCTGTGTGTATGTATATGCACCACATGCATGCCTGATACCCATGGATGCCAGAAAAGATGTTGAATCCCCAGGAATTGGAGTGACATGGTTGTGAGCCAACTTATGGGTGCTGTGAACCAAGCCATGGTCCTCTGCAAGAGCAGTCAGTGCTCTTAACCCCTGAGCCATCCCTCCAGCCCCTTAAAAAAATTTTACTTTTTAATGCAGTCATCAGCCATGGTGTGTTTCTGTATTTGGTGACTTTATGGTATCACTTTTAGAGTTATTGACACTGCCTTTTGTCTCTATTGAGGAAGGGGGATTTGCTACTTGAAGTCTAGCTAGTTGATTTTTAAGAGTGTCTGACATTCCATATTTGCATGAATCTGATTCACGTGAGTTTATTATGTTAACCTTTTTCCCCAGTGATATTGCATCAGTGATACTTATTATTATGTGTATTTATGATTAAGTCACATCAGAAGACACTAGTGCCAGGACCATGCTTATGATCTGTGTGTGTGTGGTAAGTAGCAACAGCAACAAAGACTTACTTGCTTGCATTATTTTCCTTTTTCAAACAGACGACGACTGAACGACCTTTCATTCAGAAGCTCTTCCGTCCTGTGGCTGCAGATGGACAGCTGCATACACTTGGAGATCTTCTCAAAGAAGTCTGTCCTTCTGCAATCACCCCAGAAGGTAAGGCCCTTAGCAACCCAAGGACTAGGAACCCTGGTCCTAGTCCAGCCATCAAAGTACATTTCTTAGCTCAATGCTCATATTACCCAATAAACACTGGTTTACTCTTACTCAGTACCCACAGCTTCTTGATTTCTAGTGGTGCTGCTTCTTCATTTCTGTATCCAGACATCTTTTAGACAGCACCTTTCTGAAAGTTTTTGTGAAAACATTTTTTAATTCAAATCTGATCACTAGCATCTAGCTGGTGGGCTGGTATGTAACTTTCCTAATGGCTCTGAATGTAACACATCTTCTGTTTGTCAATTCATGTTTCCTATCTTTTATAAAGAATTTTCCATACTACCTTTGGTTGCTGGGGTTAAGTGGATATTCTATATTGATAAATCTTAGGAAAGTATCTTTTATTACCTTTTAAGGGGAAATCTTCTGCTTTATAACATTTGTAATAAAACAAGAAATCAGTTGTCTTTGGCAAAATAAAATACACCTCTCATGCTTTGAGGTTTGTACGTACCACTGTAATGAGTTTATATATCTGAAAATCAGTGCACATGTACATGTGTTGGAGATTCTTGGCACCAAAGATGCTTCAGATTTCTTTAGGAAAGTGAAATAATTTGCATACATGTAATGAATTATTTTGGGGATAGAATGCAAGCTTAAGCACCAAGTTAATTTGTACACTCACACACATACGCCAACCTATCTACGCACAAAACCTAAAGATGATTTCCATGGTGTTTTTAGTGTGCCTACATTTTTATGGTAGCTGTCACGTGTGCTCAGCTGTAAAGGTTTCCATATATGCTGTTACATCAGCACTGCTAAAATCTGAGAGCATTTCTGTAAATATGCACATGTACACATGTATGCATGTATGAGGACATATAGGCGGGTGTCCTGTTGCCTTTCTCACCCAGCCATTGGGTAAGAAATTAAACAGTTTGCAGTCTCAGCCCCATGATCTATTACAATGCTCATCACTGACTAGTTTTTAAGAGGAATTTTCAGCGATGTATGATCATGTTCGTAATACCCTGAGCATCCTTACTCTTGGACCTAGTAGGAAGGAGGTAGGAATTGCTAATCGTGAAAGCATTTCTTTAGTAGTTTCTTATGAAAGAATCTAAGGAAGTGGTTTTGCTAAGAAATAGAATTAGAACTGGTGGGGGTGGTGGGACACTATATCCGAAAGGCTTAAGAAAACAACACAGAATTACTGATCGAGATTTACTGGTTTTAGAGGTTATATGTTTTATGAAGTCTTAGTGTGTGACTTGCCTTACCTGAACTCCTAAACTACACATTACGTATCAGCATGTCTCATGGTTTCCTATAAGCCTTGTATCTCTAGGGTAGGGTAAGTGTTCCCCTGACCATTAAATTACTGAATTCTTTGTATAGGGCTAACCCCAAATCATATTAGTTATGATAACTACATGTGAAGTAACACTAAGCTGTTTTATGTCCTTGGACACCATCCCTCTTTACTGTCTTATAATTTTAACTTTCATTAAAGCTTGCTTCCATTCAATTTTTTTGATATCTCAGTAGCTTTTTAAAAATAAACTCTGTAGAGCTGTATAGCTGCTGTTATGATTTGCAATTAGAATATTTTGTCCCCTCAGAATGTTAACTTCTACACACCTACAACTGACCTCTTTCCTGACTATTAGCCATGAGCAACCATTTGTTTGCTTAATGTCGGGGGGGGGGGTGCCTGGAGAGATGACTTAGTGGTTCCAGCACTGGCTGCTCTCTAGAAGATCTAGGTTTGATTTCCAGCACCTGCATGATGACTGTAACTGTTAGAGTCACAATTGTCTATAACTGATGCCTTCTTCTGACCTTCAAAGACAAGGCACACACATGGTGCACAGATATAATGCAGACAGACAAAACACCTGTATGTGTAAAACGAATAAAAAATAACAAAAAACCTTTAACCTGAAGATCTGCTTCAGATTGTTCAGGTGTTGTGGGTGAATTAACAGGCGTCTTCTCCTCAAATCAGCAAGCGCTAGTTGATTGAAAGACTCATACTTTGCTGGTATGACATACATAGTACCAATACACAGCATTAAATTTCATATCATGCATGAAATTGGACACATCCTTAACTCTGTGTCTTTCTTTTGGAAAACTTTTATCCTTGCCTCTTTTTATTTCATATTTATAATTAGGAAAAATAGCATTTAAAATCTATGGGTGGTATTTAGAAGCTTCAAGTCTCTGAGTAGAAAAACTGCAGTGCACAGTTCAGGGTACCTGTCCACTGTCAGAGTGGAGATGCAGTGTGTGGTTCAGGGTGCCTGTCCGCTGTCAGAGTGGGGATGCAGTGTGTGATTCAGGACACCTGTCCACTGTCAGAGTGGAGATGCAGTGTGTGGTTCAGGGTGCCTGTCTGCTGTCAGAGTGGAGATGCAGAGTGTGGTTCAGGGTGCCTGTCCGCTGTCAGAGTGGAGATGCAGAGTGTGGTTCAGGGTGCCTGTCCGCTGTCAGAGTGGAGATGCGGAGTGTGGTTCAGGGTGCCTGTCCGCTGTCAGAGTGGAGATGCAGTGTGTGGTTCAGGGTACCTGTCCGCTGTCAGAGTGGAGATGCAGTGTGTGGTTCAGGGTGCCTGTCCGCTGTCAGAGTGGAGATGCAGTGTGTGGTTCAGGGCGCCTGTCCGCTGTCAGAGTGGAGATGCAGAGTGTGGTTCAGGGTGCCTGTCTGCTGTCAGAGTGGAGATGCAGTGTGTGGTTCAGGGTGCCTGTCCACTGTCAGAGTGGAGATGCAGTGTGTGGTTCAGGGTACCTGTCCACTGTCAGAGTGGAGATGCAGAGTGTGGTTCAGGGTGCCTGTCCGCTGTCAGAGTGGAGATGCAGAGTGTGGTTCAGGGTGCCTGTCCGCTGTCAGAGTGGAGATGCAGAGTGTGGTTCAGGGTGCCTGTCCGCTGTCAGAGTGGAGATGCAGTGTGTGGTTCAGGGTGCCTGTCCGCTGTCAGAGTGGAGATGCAGTGTGTGGTTCAGGGTACCTGTCCGCTGTCAGAGTGGAGATGCAGAGTGTGGTTCAGGGTGCCTGTCCGCTGTCAGAGTGGAGATGCAGTGTGTGGTTCAGGGTGCCTGTCCGCTGTCAGAGATGCAGTGTGTGGTTCAGGGTACCTGTCCGCTGTCAGAGTGGAGCATTTTGGCACACCTGAACTCAAGCTGAAAGTGAAAGACTTGAAATTTGGGTGTGTGTGGATAAGACCTAGCTGTCATCACATGATAAAAAGAGAAAGTGCTTACAGAACCCATTTGGCAGGCACCATTGCAAGCCCCTCCCTGTGATTCAGCGTGGAAGAATTCAGTCTTAGTTCATCGTGACAGCAGAATGTGCTGAGCTTGGGTCATTGGAGTACCTCGATGATCTGCTTTGTGTTCTTTTCCTTTTGATCTGTAAGTTACTAGGGAAATTAGCCAAGACAGAAGGAACAGGAAACAAGCAAAGGTGAGCACAGGTACATGGTGTCTGTGGCTTCAGTGGGTAAAATGACTCAGAGATGAATGCCTTCTGCACTGGGCTCCAATCACGTATCTTCCTGTTTCAGTACTACAGTGTCAGGGTCAGAAACCAGGCCACCCGCCACCAAACTGTCAATCTGAGTTCAGTCCCTGGGATCCACATAGTAGCAGTGACCCCCTAAAAGTTGTCATCTGACACAAAATGAATAAATTAAATGTTAATATTTAAAAATCAAAAGTCATATGCTTAATTTTTATTTAGGATAATATAAAAAGCCTATAAACTTTACTGACTCATACTTTATTTTCCATTGTTCCAATATAATTATAAAAATTGGTAAGCTACATAGCTTAACAAACCTCCACTCTTGTTTCTATAAGTTTCTTTTAAGATTTCATTGATTAGTTCTCTGTGTTGGGCTATTTTTTCCTGATTTTGTCTTTGATATTACACAGACAGCACGGTGTAAAGAAAGACTTAGTTCATGACAGGTTAGTCCTAGCATCCTGTAGCTCTCTCCCCTGAGGGATGTTGTTCAGTAAGCTTGCGTGTTTTCCCTTTCCAGTTCCCTTCCAACTTCTGTGCTCTTATTTAACTCCTTGCTATCCTTCCTTGACAACGTTAACTTCTTGGGTCCATTTGATGCTATAAATTTTCATTTTCTTTGTATTGTACATGTTGTCTTGTTGTTCTAAGATACAAAAGATAGAGTAATGTTCTATGAAGAAAGCTTTGGTCCAGTTTGAATGGACAGCAAAATACACAGCTGTGGGATGATCGGGACTGAAGATGCAGTGAGTATCGCCCTCATCAGTTCTGACGAGAGAGTAAAAATTGAGTTATAATGAAGATGGGCAGAAGTGAAGCAATTGGAAAGGGAAAAGGGGGACGGTCACATAGTGCATGTGCCTACCATAGAACCCTCACCAGCTGCCTTTGCATGACATGTAGTGTCAACTGTCCTGCCCATTCTGTTTGCTGAGTTTGTCTGCCTTTTCTTTGTACATGCCTGAAGTTGTCGGTAACCTTGGAAATGTTGGAGAGTTATTAAAACTCACTGAGATTGAGGCTGGGGACTTGGAATATTGAGTTTAGGTGATCTGACTTCAAAATTACTTTTCTCTGTGTGTGTGTGTGTGTGTGTGTGTGTGTGTGTGTGTGCGTGTGTGTGTGTGTGAGTGTGCATACGTATATATGTATGTACATGTGTCAGAGTCTTACTAGTTATTGAGCCTGGTGGACTGGAACTTACTATGTAGATCATGCTACCTGGAACTCAAGAATTCAACTGCCTCTGCCTCACAGAGTATGTGCCATCATGTCTGGCAGTTATCTTATCTTTAATATGCTTTATAAAACCACAGGAGTCACAAAAATAAAATTTTAGTAAATTCATCTTTTTCCTTGTTCTATATGGTTCTGTATGGTAAATTCTTCATATGGTGTGGTATGTTATTCTCAGACACAACAGCTGGGGGTGGGTGACAAAAACACTCAGAGGCAGGTCTTTC